AGGGGACTCTGCACCTGCCGCCCGAATGTTCTCTCCCGCTGCTTCCTTCCGAGCAGTCGTCCCCAGCTCCTCGGCCTGTCCCGGTCGCTCTGCTTTCCCCAGGACGGAGGAGGCGTTTGTGTGCTTCACTCGGAGCCCCCTTTGGCGGTCCTGTTCCCTTCTGCGTTCATGCCCCACACCAAGGTGCTCCTTCATCACCGGCACTGTAATGATCCAGCCCTACAAAGCCTCTGAGACCAATAGAAACAGACAACCTATAGAAACTGCCCCTCCCTACTGCGCTTTCCTCCCCAGCATACAGGAAAGGGAGTGTGGTCAGATTCACCTCTGCCAGAGGTTGTCCCTGATGCCTTTAGGCTCTGGAGAAGCACCCTGTGAGCGTGTCTTGCTTCTGCATTTTAAAGATCTTCACCTAGAGGAAATAACTCTGGCCTTGTGGCATGTACAGTGTTTAAACCTAGGCCTTTTCTCTAGGTGAAGTTCCTTCGATGTGGTTTATACAAATACCTCTTAGGTGGGTATGTGTGCAAGGATGCTCCGACCCTCCACAGCAGGCAAATGCCAGAAAGCCCTGAAGGTGCAAGGGCTGTGGGCTTCTGTCCTCTGCTGTACCAAATTGTTATCTCTTTGGATTTGGACAATATTTTCCTGCTTAAAATGTCCATTAAGTGCATTCGTATTTGTTAGAGTGATTTGATCAGTTGTGCAGTGTCAGGTCTCCAAAGTCCTAGTCTGTTACTGGTCGGTGAGGGGGAACTGATGGTGTTGTTCTGGCTATGCCAGTGTGCCAGTGCAGCACACGGTAACTCTTGCTGGTGCTAGGCTGCCATGTGGCAGTGGAGACAAGCATCTGGTGTGTCCCAAAACCCGAGGGGAGAGGAGTCATGTGAGCAAGGCATGTAAGTCCCAGCACTGCTCAGGAGCTCCTCCCTTACAGCCATGCTTGCTCTTCTGCCGTCATGTCTTTCCAGCAGAGGAATCTGCCTCTTGAAGAGGTGTTGGTTCTCTGTCAGGCGGCATCAGATCACATTTAGAAAATACCTTTTGAATGTCAGCTCTGCTAAACTGTTGTCAGTCATGAAGGGAGTTCTCTGCATTCCTCTTCCCGTCCCCACCTCTTACCCTGAAGGAGCATTGAGTTTTCAGACTGCAAGACTAGTGTCTTCCAGCATTGCTTTGCTGCTGAGGAATGGTGATTTTGGGGCCCGCTGTGAGAGAGATGGCTGGAATTTAGTTTGTGCTTAGTGGGGAGGTGGCTGGGTAAGAAAAGGAATGAAGGGTCAGTGGCTTCTTCTCATGGTTGTAATGACGCTGAGAACACGGCTTTGTAATTTGAGGCGCTGGCACATGAGAGGTATGAGATGGTGAGCAGGGTGCTTGGCCAGGAATTAATCTGACAGGCAGGAAGGAGCAAAACATGACTGAGAGTTTGGAGTTAAGTGTCTAACATTTTTGCAGGCTGCAGATACCTTGGCTGTGAGACAGAAGCGACGGATCTATGATATCACAAACGTCCTGGAAGGCATCGGGTTGATCGAGAAGAAATCCAAGAACAGTATCCAGTGGAAGTGAGTGACAAAGAAGGTCTAAATCTCTCACAGATCCCTTCTAGTCCAGGTCTAAGCGACACACTGGGGTTAAAATGCCCTACTCGGAGCACAGTTCCTCAGTGGTTCGTGTGTGCTTGTAGTTCCCCCAGTTGAGGGGGAGTGGTAAGGAGGAAAGCTGAAGTATATGTGGCGTGTCTCTTCTACAGTGGAGCTGTTATTTTGGTACAAACGAAGTATCTGCAGCACCTTGGGCTAGAAAAGATGCCTGTCATGGCACGGGAGATGGGGGAGAGCCCTGCCAGTCTGTGGGATGTAGGAAGATATACCCAGTGTTGCTGTGCTGGAAGGTGGGGATCTAGATAAGGCTTTCTGGGTGATCTGGCCTCGATGTATGATGGGTGGCACTAAGGGAGGTGGCAGCCTCTCTGAGAGGTTGGGACTGGTCTGGGTGCCTCCAGAAGCTGATGCATGTAACTCTTTTTTTACTTTGCCCAGAGGGGTGGGTCCTGGCTGCAACACACGTGAAATAGCACACAAACTTATCGAGCTGAAGGCAGACATAGAGGACCTGGAGCAGCGGGAACAGGAGCTGGAGCAGCAGAAGATGTGGGTTCAGCAGAGCATCAAAAATGTTACAGAAGATGTGCAGAACAGTCGATATCCTTTGTGTGAATCGGTTACTCTGTCTCTGTGTTCGCTTGCTGGGTTGGAAAGCAGAGACCTGAGGGCTGAGGTGGTGCTGCCCTGCTCAAGGCAGAGGGGTGGTGGTGACCTGTTGCTGCTGGAGAATCTGCACTGAAAGGGTCAGGAGGCAGTGTCTGACTTTGAAATTAGGTAACTGTCTGGCATGGGAATCAGCTTTCTCTGTGTTGCACAGCTTCTTGTCTGTCTTTTTGAAGTAAAAAACACTGTAGTGTTTACCATGATGAGAAAAGGGCTTCTTTCTGAGTCACAGGTGCCACTTGCTTGAGCACAGGGCTGCTCTTGTGGCTTGCCTATCCTTAGGATGTCAGCTCTGACTAGTAATGTAGTTTGCAGACCACTTCAGAGTTTGGTACAGAGAGCCTTCTGGGAATGACATTTCTTGTGCTCAGGAAGGAAACACCAGGTGCCCTTTGAGTTCTTTGTCTGCATGGGAAGCTGCAGCCTTTCTCCTTAACCTTGGAAACATTAGCGTATGTGACACATGAAGATATCTGCAAGTGCTTCACAGGTGAGGAAAGTGTGCTCCATCAGAAAGATGTAACGCTGCAGTCCTGTCAGGCTGTCCCAGCTGCTCTCCTTCAGGAGAGAGAAGGCAGCGGACAGAATCACAGAATCAACTAGGTTGGAAAGGACCTTGAAGATCATCTAGTCCAACCATTAAACCATGATCAGGACCACGGGCTGCCCAACAGCATCAAGTTAAATGTAGTGCAAGCTCTGATGCCGTCCTGGGTTTGTGTACCACTGAGTCAGAGCTTCCTTGTCACCATCAGAGGAGGCAGGCAGTTTCTTTTACTTGTGCTTAAAGGAACATAGCTGCTATTGCTAAGGAAGTCTTTTTGCTGAGTGTCCCTGTGTGGGTATGTGTGTGTTATGTTAGAAGCCCTTGATTTTAAGGGCTTGGGTGGGCAATATTATAACAATCAGAAGCAAATTTTGTTGCGTGTAAGCAGGAAAATAGTATAAAAAGTGGTCCCTCAGTTGTGTCATGCCCTCTGCCAACAAAAGTGTGAGAGGGAGGTAGTGAACAGCAGGACAGAAGGGAATACACCGCTTGCTGTGACCTCGCTTCCTTGTGTTCTACCTTCCTAAAGCTGTGAGGTAAAAAAGTTGTAGTGGAGCAAAAGTGAAGAAAACCCACAGGAGTCTCTGTTCCTTCTCTGTTGTCAATTTTAATGATAGCTGTAGGACCAAAAAAATTAAAAAATCCCCAGTGGCCAGCGTGCAGTACAGCAGCCCGCAGTCCCTAAACTGTTCTGAGCTGTGGCAGTGTGGAGTCGCAGCTCCTTTCCACCTCGGTGGGCACCTGACCCCTCCTGACCCTCTGCAACCTGCATCTGCTTGCTTGCAGCAGAGACTGAAGCTACTTACGCTGACCTCCCTCAGCCACATGTAATCTCACCCTTGTCTGACTTTCTTCTCATCTCTTCCAAGCACTCTTCTCACTCTACACTTCATCAGTTCTGTTTTTCATCTTTACCTTTGTGTGCTTTCCTTGTTCACCAGACACTGCTCAGGTTCCTGCTGGTAACTTCTGCATTGCTGCCCCCTTTTGCTTTACTATTTCTTCTTAAGCTAGTGCTTTTTGGGGGGCAGGGTTTGTTTTCAGTTTGACAGTGCTTGGGGCCAGATAACTCATAACAGTCTGGAAGAGTTTACTGGAGACCGGCAGACAGCATATTGCTTGGTTGATTGAGTATTTTGCATTTTATTGCACCTGTTTTTTGTAAACTGGTTTGCATCTGAAGTCAGACCTCACCAAAATGCAGAGATTAGATCTTACTGAGGAGGGCAGATCTGAATTCCTTCTAGAACAGAGGCTTGATCCATGTTTTTCCATTGTCTGTTCCCTTTTCCTGTATGAATATGCCTTATGTGACTTTTCCTCTCCTGACCATCTGGGCCTTGCAGAGATTCTTTACTGAATCTCTTGTGTTCTTGAGCTATGGTGCAGGCTGAATTCAGCTCCTGTTTTTTCTGACTGACTGCTGTTGAATTTGCTTTCTCAAAGTGAGTTAGGGCTTGAAGATTTCCATGCTTGGAATCTTGTCAAATATGGATTTGTTATTTGTATTAATTAAAAAAAAAAAAAGGTGGTGGTGGTGTAAGAATATGTTAGTTTTTAGTGACTGGGCGACATAATTTTCCCATCTATTGCTATGATGCATTTTTCACTTGCAGAATCAAAAAGAAGTGGAAACACACTGTACACTGTTTTGTAATAAAAGTATTTGGGATGTAGCTATCAAGGGCTCACTCTTCAAGGGAGCTAGAAACAGAGCACCTGTATTTGAAACTAACAGGACTTACAGCTTGAGCTTGTGTCTCTGAATTTTATTATGCATTTTAATGTCTCTTAACAATATTTGTCCTAAGTGCAGATTTGTTAAAAGAATCCCATTTTATTGACAAATGCTCTGGTATTTTTAATCCCTGTACCTTTTGCTGATCTCATCTTTGATTGCCTACCTGAAATTAAAGGATTCGCTCTTCTGCTGTCCACTCTCATCGCTCTGGGGATCTTCTGTGATAATTATCAAGTAAAGCTTAGTGCAGAGTAATGGTGAAGTGTGAATACTAACCACACTAAAGCTTAAGCATTCAAAGGGAAAGCTGCTGACTTCTTGCTCTGAATATGTCTAATGTTTACAGCTCTGGTATTTCTCTGTTCACATTTCTCTAAACCCAGATATGGACTGGAAGCTGCTCGCCCGTGACTGTTGTGTTCTTAGGGGTGCAGGTCTTAAGGAGCTGCAGAGCTTGAAAAGGAAAGATGCCACCAGCCTGGCTCTCGGCCCCGCACTTGCTGGGCTCTCTGCAGGGTCCAATACAACTAACACCAGGCAGCTCTTGCTGGTAGAGGCTGGGGAATGTTGGTTTCAGGTAATGATACTCCAACATGAGGTTGCCATGCTGTTGGCAGCCTGGCTCTTCAGCCTAGTTTGACACCATCTCTGCTGGCAGTGCAGCTCTTTGTGTGCTCTTTTGTTTATAATTCACATCTAAAAGCTTGTGACAACATGATGGATCCTTCCTTTAGGAATCAGATGTTTTTAAGAGTGAATTTAAGCCAGCCCTTCTGAGGGAAAGAAAGCTTAGTCCTGTTAAGGATGCTGCTAAAAACTTTAGGGTTGCTTTGGTTTGCAGGTTCTTTGCGCCCTGGGCATTTGGCATGTTGGCAACTGTATGATAAGCTCAGATGGGTGTAAATGGCAGTCCTCCAAGGAAGGGAGCACAGGGAGCTTTTGTCAGGACAGTTTACGCCCACTGAGTGCTGACCAGTCTGTTTTCACAGGAGACACCCTCCTTGCAATTCGAGCCCCATCAGGCACACGTTTGGAGGTTCCCATCCCCGAGGTGGGTGATGAATGTGTGAGTAGAGTGCAGGAGTGTGTGTGTGTGTGTGTGTGTCGGGGTGGGGGTTGTTCCTGGATTGACTTGTTTGTGAGTTGGCAGTCAGGGGGTTGATGGAGTCAGAGGAACCGGCAACCCAAGATATTACATAATTTCTAGGAAACTGTTTGGAAGTACATGAGTAATTGCTGGAGCACCAGGGGAGAGAATAGTCCTGGGAGTCAGTAGAATTGTGTGTGGAACCGTGCTGAACTGTCTGGACAGCATGCCTTGCCTCCAGGAAATTCCTGTTCTGTTTGAAAAGCATATTTAATGTATGGTTGTGTTTTGCTTTTGACTTTTCTCAGGGCCTAAATGGGCAGAAGAAATACCAGATCCATCTGAAGAGCACAAGTGGTCCTATTGATGTTCTCTTAGTAAACAAAGATGCTTGGAGCTCTCCTCCTGTTGTACTACCTGTCCCTCCCCCTGAAGACCTTATTCAGTGCCAGGCAGTTGCACCCTCAAAACCTCAGATACCACCGCTCACCCACTTCCAGGAGGCATCTGTTCCCAGCAGCACCCAGCCCTCTACACCGACACCCACCAGCACTCAGGACCACAGCCCTCCCGCGCAGAAAGCCACAGGCACGGGTGAGAGGGAGGCAGAAACGGGATGGTGGCTGACAAAGGAGGGTACATTCCTTGGCCTGGCTGGGCCTGGGCACTGCTGGTCGTGCAGTACTGTCAGCTCCTGGCAAAGGGGACACCTCTGCCTTTGCTGCTGTGAGCCTTTTCTTTTTGTCATGGTTAGTGGGACTGGCTCCATTAACAAAAATAAGACACTTGACCAGAAGTTTGTAAAAGGGTCTTTTTGAGCCTCAAGTTCAACTTTCAGTTTGAAAAAAAACCTGTCAAAAATACTAGATTAGGTTGGTTTTGGCTTTGTCCAGCTAAAGCATGAAAGCCTCCATCAGTGGAGATGCCCAGATTCCTTGGTGAGCTCTTCCAAGGCTGCAGCACCTTCTCAGTGAATTCTTTTTCCTGGTGCCTGGATCCTTTGAGCTGCATCTCATGCCTGTTGTGCATGTTACATTGTTTGGCACCACTGACAATTCTTAATTTTTATAACCGCCTTTTGGGTAGCTGCAAGCTGCTGTTAGATTGCTCTTAGACTTCTCTTTGCCTGACTGAAGAAGCCCAGCTCCTTGTAGGCCATGTGCCCTAGACTCCTGGTCAACCTGGTAGCCCTCAGCTGGATCTTCTCCACGTCTTTGTAGAACTGGCAGATGGCCAGAGCTGGAGGGAGTATTCCAAGTGCAGCCTCAGCCCCAAGCAGGCGAATAGTAACTTCCCTCAGTGTGCTGGCCACGCTTCTCCTGCTGTAGCTTACTACCTGGCTTGTGTTAATTGCCATGAGAGCATGTTCTTGGCTTATGTGCAGCCTGGCACCACTAAGGCTGCTCTCCAACAGGACCTGGGAGTTTTTGTTACATGAAAGCAAGAAGCCTTCTTCCTGTGCAGCTGTCTTGTGCTTGGACAGCATTGCCAGTGAGGCTTGAGCCCGTGCTGTGGCTGCTTGCTTTGGGGTTGGTGGGAGATGACATTCCTTGTGTGTGTCTGTGGCTCTTTCCAGAATGTGGTGTCTCGGCAGCAGAATCCAAGAGCAGCGGCAACTTCGAGCCCCTGGGCAGTGCCGGGTTGGATACGCAGCCGCTGCAGTCCTCTGCCTCACTGGACAGCGGCTCCGTCCTACCCAGCCCCTCTACCTCCTTTGAGCCCATCAAACCTGACCCCACAGGAAGTGAGTATGCACCCTCCTTGCATGTGTCGCTCCAAAAGCCTGCTGCTTGGAGCGAGGGAAAGGCTGCTGGACCTGGAGGAGGGACCTCAACTCCGTTCTGCCTTTGCTGTCAGCCAGACTCTGCAAGGGATGAATAGGCATTTCCCTGTGAAGGCACTAGGGGACCTGGTGAGAAGGTGGCTGTGTTGTGGCTAGTGTCCTGCCATTTTCTGGGACATCAGTACTAGAAAATCTGCAAGGGACATTGGCATGACACATGTTATGCGAGTTACTGCTGTTCGGTGTAGGATTATTCCATTTTAGTCCGTTTTTGAGACCAAGTGAAGCTATAGAATTTCCATCTGTCACTGAGAACACCTTTGTAACTCATGGGGAGTTTTCCCTTACTAGGAGAGTTCTTGTCTCTGTTTTCCTCCTCTGCTCAGGAATACTTCATCTATCTTTAGTGATCTTCTGGTCTTAATGATCTCTCTGTATATTTGGGGAGCTCCTTGCTGTTCTTGTTGAGGTGAAATGGGCTTTAAAAAGGGAATTGTGAATGAAAGTGGTGTTCTGCAAAGAAAGTGGTGTTGAGCAGGAAATGGCAGGCTGGGCCAAGGAGGGAAAAGCTTCCTCTAGGTAAGACACACTACAGAAACACTCTAGGTTAAAGGGTTATGGTTAGAAGAGGAAATTTTACTCAAATGTAGCTCATGCAATGCTTTTTTCACAGTTCTGCTGCTGGCATGCCTGAGAAAAGCACAAACTGTCTGTCTTCATCTGGGAGTAGTCGTGATTGTGGAGTTAGGCCTTTGCTGTGTGCCTGGCTTACCATGTCCCAGTGGGTCTGTGCTGACTTGAGGCATGCCCTCACCCAGCACAAGATGAATTGAGGAAGCTGACACCGTGTGTGGCTCACATACAGGCAGTTACTTGAGAGCTGCTGACTGCGATAACTCCCAGGGCTCCTACAGATTTATTTTAAAGCAGTCAAGCTAAAGTATTTTATTGGTTATTTCTTCAGGAGCAATATGTGACATGGGGTGTGGGAGCAGAATTTTGTGTTGTATGGATGATTTGGGTGTGTAAGGAGTGCAGTAGGACAGTCAGTGATTATGCTGTAAAGCATTTCAGACTTCATGTAACATTGCAAACCATTTGGTTTGTTGTATTTGCAGTACTGGAACTTCCCAAAGAGCTGTCAGAGATGTTTGATCCAACGAGAGGTATGTTCACTCCCTGATCGTGGCTTTGTTCTGTGCCCATTTCCATGCAGAAGTGGGACAGTTTGGTTTATTACTCTCTTCTGGATTGTTTTGGGGTTGTGGTTTTGTAAGGTGCTTGTGGTCTTTGGTGGCTGCTGGCTCTCTACTTATAGTTAGGCACTCTTAAAATTACTGGTTTCAGTATGTATTTTTCTGTCTTCATGTTGCCAGCAACCTGTTAGAGTTTGCCCTACAGTGTGCAGATGAGAGCTTTCCTGTCCTTGTGTCAATGCTAATCTGTGCTCTGGCTTCCCATGCTCATTCTCCAACTTGACTGCACTATGTAAAAGAAAAATCCCTGTTAGTCTTGATTCAGCTGTAGCCTGCCTGAGGCTAATCAAAGCGAATAATCTAAGGAAATAGTCTCTCTTTGAAATGTCCCTCAGTGGTTTTGGTGGTGCTGGTAATTTTGGAGCAGCAGAGGAGAGGATACTGTTACTTGTGTTAGGGGTTCTGCCTTTGCCCAAGGAATGTCAGGGTGTGGCTGCCTAACAATGGGACAGGCTAAGGGCAGAAGACGTGAAGAAGTCAGGTCTAATGTGAGCCTAAACTGGGAAACGTTTTATTTGCACGTATATTCTCCTTCAGTGCTGGCAAAATACTTTCTAGCCCCGCAGCTAGGCAGAGCCCAGTACACAGAAGCACTTTTGTGGTGGTGACAGGATATGTACAACAGTCCCTAGTCCTGTGCTCGAGCAGGTGCCTTGTGAAATCGCTGCCTTAGTGTAAGAACCCCACAATCCCAAATGCATGTGCGTGAGCCCCCAATCTGCGTGCTGGGAGCCCAGGGCTCTGCAGTCAGCCTGGAGGACACTCTTCCTCCTTGCTCAGCACCCGCTGCTCTAGGTAGTGGGTGAGGTCTTGGTAATGACTGAGTATATCTGCAGCATAAATTTGATTTCACAGTGTGAGACATAAACTGCTGCAAGGCCGCAGCCTATGTAGAAGATCCAGCTTAACCCAAACTCACTGTGTTATGTGACTTTGTGGACACTATTAAAAAGGAGATGTTTGCTGCCTGCGGTAACATACGTTGTTTTATCTTGCCCATTTAGAGGATGAAGGTAGAGATCCAGGAGTGAAGGACAACATGACGTGGCCAAGTCAAATTTTAACTGTGAGCCACTATTGAATTGTGAATGAAAGTGGTGTTCTGCAAAACAGAGTCAACAGCTACTGAGGCAAAGCTCAGAAAAGCTCAGGACTGTAAAAAAAGCAACACAGCAGAGCTCAGAAATGGGCCTTACAATGTTCTCTATGCAGCCTCTTTCATCCCTATGTGATCCCAGTAATGTTGCCCTGGCACTGGCAGCTGCTTTAAGGCCATGTAGTTTAAGCTGCAAGAGCCTGGATTTCTTCCTTGGTGTTTTGTTTAGGAATCATTTTCTCTGTGTGGTTTTCTCTTTTAGATGGGTGCTTAATAACTGCTTGTTTTAAACTCATATCCTGGAAAAACCCTGAATTTCAACACACACATATACACACTCTGCAGTATTACCAGCCCTAATCTAAGAGTGCAAGTTCTGCATTTAATTGCTATTTATTGAAGCTGTTGTTAGTTCTATCTAGTCACTCGGTGTTAAAATTCATCTCATGCCACTGAATTAAACAGGTAGGTTCCTGTCCTCCAGGAAATAGCCTGCTGCAGATAAGTGTCTTGAAAATGGGCTCATCTGAGTTTCTTTCACGAAAACTTACTTCAAGTGGAGGTAGGATCTCATCAACCAGTTAGACTGAGTTAGGTATTTACTATAGTAACTTGGTAAAGTGAGAGAGGTATTCAGAAAGCTGTTTTCAAATGCTTAGTTTCTTAAATAAAAGGGCTTGACTTGCACATACTTTGTCTGGCTGCTTGTCTGTCTACCCTTCAAGTGCCTCGTGAACCTACTAGCCAAGAGGAACAACCCTGGAGGAAGAGGGTTTTCAGAGATTTTTCAGAGATAATTTTTCTACAGTTTTGTGCAGGCAGTAGAGGGGAGAGCAGAGCTACTGGCCCATTAAGGAAGGATATGCAGAGCTCAGATGTTCATTCTGTTTGGCACTGGACAGCTGGTCAATCTGCCAGGGCTTGTGGCTGTATTAGCCACAGCAGAGCTGTGGGACAAGGGGAGCAAATCAGCGGGACAAAGGACAAATCTGGAGGAAACTGAAGACTTGTTAGTTCTACTGGTCCTAGAACAGCTCATTTGTTTTTTAATTTTTTCCCCACTCTTAGCAAAGTTGGTGGGTATTTGAGGGCTGTGAATATGTCAGGCTTTACCAGCTGAATTTCAGGTGCAATGTTCAAGAGTTTCCCTTGGAGGAGTTTGGGGCACCAGCTAGTGTGGCAGTGCAGGGCTACGGCACAGCCTGTCACAGGAAGGAGACTGGTGTGTGATTGAGCTAAAGAAAACAGAACCTCCTGCAGAATTTTTGGATGTGGCTTGAATTGTCTGACACAGATAGCCCTTTGCCCATGGCTGGAGGCCCAGGCCTCCTTCCACCACTGCCTGCTGCACATGCCAGGGAAGGGATAACAGGGGTGAGGAGCACCCTGGGAAGGGTGGGGAACTACGCAGGAACAGAGCAGGAAAACAGAGTGCATTGCTAAACCATGCTTGTCTCTTCCTCAGAATGTATGAACTCTGAGCTGCTGGAAGAGCTGATGTCATCTGAAGGTGAGTCTTTGAGTCTCTCACTCATGGTGTGGCCTTCCCAGGGGAGAAAGACCATGCTGTGTGACTTTACTGAGCTGACAGCCTTGTGACTACAGACTCGCCCTCATCTTTCCTGGGCTCTGGACACAGAGTGTGTTCTCACTGTCCTGCCAGTCCCTGAGAGAGGTGTGAGAACCAGAAGAGCCTGTGTCTTCCATATCGCAAGGCTGATTTGAAGCAACCTCAGAGACTGAGGTGGCCTCCTCCTGGCTCTGCAGCTCAGCGCCCGTTGGCAGCTCTTGGCTCGGTGTGGAAATGCTGAATTTTGTAACCAACCGTGGGCTTCTCTTTCCCCAGTGTTTGCTCCCTTGCTCCGCCTCTCCCCTCCACCTGGAGATCATGACTACATCTACAACCTGGATGAGAGTGAAGGTGTCTGTGACCTCTTTGACGTGCCTGTCCTCAACCTCTGACTTCTCAGCACAGCTGTGAGCCTCGCAAACACAGACAGTTTTGTAACTCTTTGCAAAGTGTCTATTTTTGGATTCCTTTTGTGCTAGAGCTCGATGAGTGAGCGATTCAGAGATGCCCTCATATGGACTCAGAACCAAGAGATGTGGACTTGCAGGCTGGGAGCCTCCCCGCAGCTTCTTCCTCTTCCTCTGTTGCACGTGCAAGGTGCGTGTGCAACTCACCCCACCGCATCTCTCTCGCCACTAGATCCTGGGCCTCACTTCAAAGGGTCTGTGTTTTGAGTGTTCCCAGTTCACCCGTAGAGTTTGTCCATGTGCCTCTCCGAGCTTCCTCAAATCTGCATGCCTTGGTTTTTCCTGCACTCCCAGAGGCACTTTGCACCTCCTAGGTACCAGCTGCTACAAGGAGCCCTGATATCGTGGTCAGTTCACAAGCCCGGAGGTAGTTAGATTTCTCAATGTGAGCAGTTCAGACTGGGGTGGTTTTATTTCTGAGTGAAAACGAGGAAAAAAAAAAATGGCACCAAAGTGTCCATTTCTTCCAGTGACTTCAGACCAAGCTAGTATGTTTTACAAGAAAAAGCACTTTTTTTAGCCAGCTGTGCCTCCTAGTAGGACCCAGGGGCTGAGCCTTTCCCTGCTCATGCAGCAGCAGGAGTGCTGGTTCTGTGTTTGCCAGCCTGCTGATGCATGAGCCCAGGGGCTCAGCTCCCTGTACTTGCAGCTGGGCTGTTTCTACAGGGCTAAAGAAGAGGTGCCAGTATGGTTTTTTAATTTTTATTTGTTTTTGCCTGAGTGAAGAGATGTTCAAAAGGATAAGACTGCTCCAGCTGGTGCCTGTAAGGTACTCCAGGCGCATCAGAGCCTGCTCATGTTTGCAAGTAGCTGTCTTCTCCAATCATTGCACTTGAGCCTTCAGCTGTCTAAAAGGCAACCAAGCAGTAACAATTCAGTAGTGCTTTGCTGTGGTAAGTTACATAGGTGTTGTCAAAATAGTGCTTCCCCCCTGCCCTTCCCCTTTTTCCCTCAGCATCTGCTCAGGATCAGGCTTTCTGTATATTTGAATTTGCTCCCCTAGTGTCCATACCCACACTCCCTGATCCTGTGGCAGGTCACCACTTAGCATGATGCTTTCTCTGCATCATTTTTCCGCAAGATTTTCTCCATACCTTCTTCCACTGTAATGGAAGGTCTGCTGTTGGATTATGATGATCAGGTGATACCAGTCTTGGACGCTGTGCAGTTTAGTTGGAGTAAAACACGCTGATGGATTTGTGTTGTATTTTACAAGCCCCAACTTTGAGTTTTGGTCAGATGGTGTATTTTGAGCGTCCTCAGTTTTGCACATCTTCCTGCTGACACGGTGGTAGCAGCTGTCCTGCCTCTCCTGCTCAGCAAACTGCTGAGGAGAGGGCCAGGCCAGGAGCATGGCTGGCTATTGCAGAGAGGTAGCTCGAAGCCATCCACATAACCAGCTGATGTTTAAGTTCTCTGCTTAGCTGCTCACCACCTGTGAACCACACAACCAGCTGGAGCACCAGGAATAAGGGATGTGAAGTCGTCGATTCTTCGAGCCCACAGAGGGGAGAAGAGTATATGCCTGGGACCTGTGTCCTCAAGGTGGCTCCTCGGGCCATCCTGTTCTGCGTGGGTCTCCCCCAGAAGAGCTGTCCCTCTCTGCAGCCCTGAAGCACTGGCGTCCTCTTTGGGAAAAGCCTCAAGAATTCGGGAGGAACAACGGGACGCTCTCTAGTTTGGCAGCAGGCAGACAGCCGTGGCGTGGGACCCTGCCAGGGGGTGGACCTCCAGCCCGAATGCAGCCAGACCCCAAACCTTCCCCCCTTCGCATGGAAGCTGAAATCCCTGGGCCCCGCACGCGTGTTAGCTAGGCTCTGTGGCTTTGGTGTAGTTTGAGCTCTCCGTGTACTGCCTGGCCCTCGCCCTCCCACGTGTTCATGTTCGCCAGCAGATAGACGACCTTGGGAAAAGGAATAATTTACAGTTGCAAATGAACTTTTGATTCATATATAAAGATTATTTTTATACTTTTTTGCAAGAAAAGAAGATTGCCTGTAATATTTGTACAGTGTTCTCTGACATGAATAAACAAAATCTTTGTCCAGTTTCCCACTTCACCTTGGCCTGCGCCTGCCCTGGGCCGAGCCCCCTCAGGGGAGGGGGTGCCCCCGAAAAGCAGGGTGCCGGCCGGGCCCTCTCCCGGCGGGAGGCCCCGGAGGTGGGTCCCTCCGCACCCGCGTCAGCTCAGGTGAGG